AAGATTGACGAACAGTTCCTGCTGTGGCCTGCGGTCTGGGAGCTGACCTGCTGCTGTCAGCTGACCTGCTGCTGTCAGCTGCTTGTGTTTATGTCAGCGTTCCGCTGGCTGGGGCAGACAGCCAAATGGTGAAATTCCACATCGAAGGGAATATTGTATAGCTATACAAGATTGTTACTTGCTTAGCTAAATAGATTGTGGGGTTCAGTTCCTGAACCTATAATGTGCCTGTGTAACCCCTGCCACCACCGCCCACAGTATGGGTATGAGGCAAACTAAAGGAATACACAATACCTTACTTTCATGCATTTCTCCTACATCGAAGAGAGAAAAGAAGCGAACGTAAATTCTCATTTTCATCTTATCTCTCACGAAAAGAGGGTAAATAAAAAAAGATTCACCTTAGTCCAAAAGATATCTCTCCATCTCCTTCCTTGAAGACTCGCAGGCCGAAGACAGAGACCAGGTGGTAGACAGAGACCTGTCTGGGTAAGGCGAGGAGTGACGGGAGGGAGCTTGGCCCGCGCTACCGGACACCGGACCAATAAATAGTGTGGACAGGTCCTGTGTTACAGTGACTCACGTGGGGGGGACAGAGAGAGGGTGAGGGGGGGACCCGCGGACACACACACATCAGCGGCATCGTCCAAAGAAAGCCCCACTTTGTTTTGGTGGCTTTGAGAAACACCCACCCCCCCCCGACCACCACCACCACCCCCTCTTCCCCCTCGTTAACCGAAATGACTTGGTCTTCTCTTCTGAAGCGGCTTTGAGGACTACCCAACCATTTCCACATAGTTGAGGTTCACAGGGACCCTTTGACGAACGTAAGAATATAACATTAATCTTTTCTTACGTTTTTCTTTAAAATTACCTTCACATACACACAAAAAACACCTCAGTGAACAGTGGCTTCCCTTCACAAAGGCTGCAAACTTTATAAACAACGAGGTCTCCCCCCCAAAGGCGAGAGGAGAGAAAATGTCACCCCGCCGGATGTTCGCGTTACAAAGCCATTCATCTTCGATAATTCCCCCTTTTGTAATGGCAGTTATGGATTAATATGACAGCCTGGTATAAGTGCCAGGGAACAATGTCCCCAGCGGAGGGTGTAAGACTGCCTCAGGGGCGGCCCAAGCAGGTGTGTCCTTCAAGACGACACGCGCTGAGAACAGGCGACACGGAAATTGTTTTATCGGATCTACGAAAGAACAGCTGCTGGTCTTGGAGTTGGGTGACAGCGAGGAGGAGGAGGAGTGCCGTCTCCACCAGCACGATCCATGTGGCACTGTCTAACGTCTCCTGTCTCATAGACGACTCGTGGAGCACTGTCTAACGTCTCCTGTCTCATAGACGACCCGTGGGGCTCTGTCTAACGTCTCCTGTCTCATAGACGACCCGTGGGGCTCTGTCTAACGTCTCCTGTCTCATAGACGACCCTTGTGGCACTGTCTAACGTTTCCTGTCTCATAGACGACCCGTGTGGCACTGTCTAACGTCTCCTGTCTCATAGACGACCCGTGTGGCACTGTCTAACGTCTCCTGTCTCATAGACGACCCGTGGAGCACTGTCTAACGTCTCCTGTCTCATAGACGACTCGTGGAGCACTGTCTAACGTCTCCTGTCTCATAGACGACCCGTGGAGCACTGTCTAACGTCTCCTGTCTCATAGACGACCCGTGGGGCTCTGTCTAACGTCTCCTGTCTCATAGACGACCCGTGGGGCTCTGTCTAACGTCTCCTGTCTCATAGACGACCCTTGTGGCACTGTCTAACGTTTCCTGTCTCATAGACGACCCGTGTGGCACTGTCTAACGTCTCCTGTCTCATAGACGACCCGTGTGACACTGTCTAACGTCTCCTGTCTCATAGACGACCCGTGTGACACTGTCTAACGTCTCCTGTCTGATAGACGACCCGTGGGACTCTGTCTAACGTCTCCTGACTCATAGACGACCCGTGTGGCACTGTCTAACGTCTCCTGTCTCATAGACGACCCGTGTGACACTGTCTAACGTCTCCTGTCTCATAGACGACCCGTGGAGCACAGTCTAACGCCTCCTGTCTCATAGACGACCCGTGGAGCACAGTCTAACGTCTCCTGTCTCATAGACGACCCGTGGGGCACAGTCTAACGTCTCCTGTCTCATAGACGACCCGTGGGGCACAGTCTAACGCCTCCTGTCTCATAGACGACCCGTGGAGCACAGCCTAACGTCTCCTGTCTCATAGACGACCCGTGTGGCACTGTCTAACGCCTCCTGTCTCATAGACGACCCGTGTGACACTGTCTAACGCCTCCTGTCTCATAGACGACCCGTGGGGCTCTGTCTAACGTCTCCTGTCTCATAGACGACCCGTGTGACACTGTCTAACGCCTCCTGTCTCATAGACGACCCGTGTGGCACTGTCTAACGCCTCCTGTCTCATAGACGACCCGTGTGGCACTGTCTAACGCCTCCTGTCTCATAGACGACCCGTGTGGCACAGTCTAACGCCTCCTGTCTCATAGACGACCCGTGGAGCACAGTCTAACGCCTCCTGTCTCATAGACGACCCGTGGGGCACAGTCTAACGCCTCCTGTCTCATAGACGACCCGTGGGGCACAGTCTAACGTCTCCTGTCTCATAGACGACCCGTGGGGCACAGTCTAACGCCTCCTGTCTCATAGACGACCCGTGGGGCACAGTCTAACGTCTCCTGTCTCATAGACGACCCGTGGGGCACAGTCTAACGTCTCCTGTCTCATAGACGACCCGTGGGGCACAGTCTAACGTCTCCTGTCTCATAGACGACCCGTGGGACTCTGTCTAACGCCTCCTGTTTCATAGACGAACCCTGTGACACTGTTCAGTAGTACCTTCTTGTAATAAATTATCAATTATGTATTATTATTATTACTTGTAATATTAGCTACAACTACTACTTGTACTAGTAGTTAACAATAACATTTAACACTTGTAGTAGAAGTAGCATTAATAATAGTAGATTTAACAGTAGTGATATTAAAAAGTATTTGTTGTAATACAGTAGTAATAGTAGTGATAATATTTATATAAACAAATAAGCAGTACTATCAGTACTATGTTGACCAGACCACACACTAGAAGGTGAAGGGACGACGACGTTTCGGTCCGTCCTGGACCATTCTCAAGTCGATTGTCTCAGATTGTTGGACCATTCACAATCGACTTGTGAATGGTCCAGGACGGACCGAAACGTCGTCGTCTCTTCACCTTCTAGTGTGTGGTCTGGTCAACATACTTTAGCCACGTTGTGACTCGTCGCCTGCATATCAGTACTATCACCAGCAGTGTAGCTACAATACCCTCCCCTATTATCAACTCCTTTGTACTATTCATCTTCATTGTCTACATATCCTACAGGACCAAAAAATAGTCCATTAACCCCCTTCCAACTGTCCTATAACCCCCTTTCTCCCCTACCTCTCCCCCTACTCTTACCCATTATCTCAACCTCACATATTGGTCAGAGGGAGGAGTGATTGAGGGAGACACACACTCACCACTCAGAAAGTCACTCAGATGAAATATCAGGAGAGCTGGTCGAGTGACAGACAGATGCACCCAGTACCACGTAGCGTAGTCAATCACCAAGCCATGATAGCGTCTCTCGTTGACCTGTATGGTAGGTGTTTCATGCTGCTTTGTGTCGTTCTGTTGCAGGTGTGTGTCGTGTAGAGTAGGGGAGACCTTTGTTGCAGGTGTGTGTCGTGTAGGGGGACGTCTGTTGCAGGTGTGTGTCGTGTAGGGGGAGGACGTCTGTTGCAGGTGTGTTTCGTGTAGGGGGACGTCTGTTGCAGGTGTGTATCGTGCAGGGAGAGACGTCCGGATCTCTATGATGAAACAACTCGCCCCAACTCCAGAGTCATTATCAGGGTCGTCCATCACCTTCATCAACAACAATTCCACTATCATCAAACGAAGGTCGCTCATATTACCCTCCTCCTCATCATCATCATCACTATCACCCTCACCATGAAGGAATACACCATAACACCATAGACCAACACCACCATCACTCGTCGCCCTTCCCAAAGCGCATCACAAGAAAGGATTCGATTCCGGATCGGAAATAACAGACGATCTCTCTCACGTAATCCTTCACACAAAATTGTGGATAAAGGGTGGGATGTGACTGGGTTAATCCTTCCTCTAGTTTCAGAGTTCCCGCCTCATTAAACTCCAATTGGCAGTCATAAATTGGCTTCTCACCTGCTGTGATTACCAACACGTTTGTGACAGATGGGACGCAACAAGCAGACATAGGCACGGGCGTGCACATACGCGAGTGCAGGCGGCTTCTGAAGCCTATTTCGCCACGAACACTCTGCAAGGCATCATAGTGAGGTCACACACACCTCGTGGTCACCGGTTGAGAGGCAGGACCAAATTTTATGTTTTATATATGCTCATATAGTTGTGCTTGCGGGGGGATGAGCTTTAGCTCCTTGGTCCCGTCTTTCAACCATTAAGAAACGCATGCACGTGTTAAGAAGGTTGACGGGACCAGATACCCAGAGACAATTGATTGATTGATCCCACCGACTCGCGAGACAGGTCAGACAGGTACCATAAAGGAACGTCCCAGGTCAATTTTTATCACATAAGGTCAGAGGTCACGGGAAGGGAGAAGGGGTCATTATGGAACCCCTTCTCCCACGACCCCTATAGACGGGTCAACCCCCCACCCCTCCAGTCCACACCCTTAATCTCTGGTGTCCGAGATTGATCTCTGCACCAGTCTGAGAAGTGATGCTTAGCAAGATTCCATTAAGATTCAGTGATGCTGCGGATAAGATGTTTAATTACATTTGAAGCATCCTCAAATCATAATGTTTACTCTTTGATTATGTTCTATTTCAAAAGTTCTAAAGAAAGTATTTGACACTGAATAGAGCACAATACACATCTAATATAGTATAGAGGTAAAGGGGCGGTAGTTAAAGCTATGAATAAGATGCTTTCATATGCCAAGATCACACACACGCTGCTGTGTATGGGAACCAGTCTCCACGAGACTGGAACCAGTCTCCACGAGACTGGAACCAGTCCCCCCGAGACTGGAACCAGTCTCCACGAGACTGGAACCAGTTCCCCCGAGACTGGAACCAGTCCCCCCGAGACTGGAACCAGTCTCCACGAGACTGGAACCAGTCCCCCCGAGACTGGAACCAGTCTCCACGAGACTGGAACCAGTCTCCACGAGACTGGAACCAGTCCCCCCGAGACTGGAACCAGTCTCCACGAGACTGGAACCAGTCCCCCCGAGACTGGAACCAGTCCCCCCGAGACTGGAACCAGTCTCCACGAGACTGGAACCAGTCTCCACGAGACTGGAACCAGTCCCCCCGAGACTGGAACCAGTCCCCCCGAGACTGGAACCAGTCTCCACGAGACTGGAACCAGTTCCCCCGAGACTGGAACCAGTCCCCCCGAGACTGGAACCAGTCACCCAGAGACTGGAACCAGTCCCCCCGAGACTGGAACCAGTCCCCCCGAGACTGGAACCAGTCTCCACGAGACTGGAACCAGTTCCCCCGAGACTGGAACCAGTCCCCCCGAGACTGGAACCAGTCACCCAGAGACTGGAACCAGTCCCCCCGAGACTGGAACCAGTCTCCACGAGACTGGAACCAGTTCCCCCGAGACTGGAACCAGTCCCCCCGAGACTGGAACCAGTCACCCAGAGACTGGAACCAGTCCCCCCGAGACTGGAACCAGTCTCCACGAGACTGGAACCAGTTCCCCCGAGACTGGAACCAGTCCCCCCGAGACTGGAACCAGTCACCCAGAGACTGGAACCAGTCCCCCCGAGACTGGAACCAGTCTCCACGAGACTGGAACCAGTCCCCACGAAACTGGAACCAGTCCCCCCGAGACTGGAACCAGTCTCCACGAGACTGGAACCAGTCTCCACGAGACTGGAACCAGTCCCCACGAAACTGGAACCAGTCCCCCCGAGACTGGAACCAGTCCCCACGAGACTGGAACCAGTCCCCCCGAGACTGGAACCAGTTCCCACGAAACTGGAACCAGTCCCCACGAAACTGGAACCGGTCCCGCATGACAGAATTCAGTATTATAACACAGAGAACAAGACTGGCATATCAATTCAGACAAGGTCTCCCCCTCAAAATACCAGTGGAGGAGCGGAAGGACGTAGCGTGGTGTATCTGGCCTTATACTGTTTACGACAGCACAGGGGCAGGAACCACGGGTGTCGAATCATCACTACGGGGCGCGTTTGACGCCTCCGAAAGGCGGTGGTAGGCCGGGGCCGCTCCTAGTGTGACGGATGGTCCGCTCCTTGGCCGGAAGTAGCCCGCGGGAAACCACATGAAGGGAAAGACAAGAGCCGTTCCTTGTATACTAATGAATACTAGTGTCGAGGGCCGGGCCGCGGGTACGCTAAGGCCCGAAATCACTTCAGGATAACCCTATAGGTGCCATCCTCTGCAGGTGCCATCCTCTGCAGGTGCCATCAGCCGCAAATGCCACAAACAGGCGTCGCTCCCTACAGGTGCCACCACTGGAGAACCTCTGGGATCGTCATTAAGCTCTGTAGTCACTGTATTTTATCTGCCATTCCTAAATTATCACATCTTGCGTATCTACGCTTTTATTAAATCTATTCACTAAATCTTTTCTTTTCCCCACATGTCCTTCTTTGCCTGACGGGAATATTGAGGTTGTAAATATGTGAAGCGACAAGGGAAGGCGGTAGTGAGATAGAGAGTGATTCATAGCACACTGGAGATTACAACCAAACTTGGCGCCGTGCCCCCATCTAAAAGTCCGCCCACGCACCGCCCACGGCTGATAACCCCTCTCCCCCACCCACGCCCATGACACCTCAACACGCACCTAGATGAGTACACACCGCCCACGAATGATAACAACTTGCTCTTGTACAGTTGAGAGGCGGGACCAAAGAGCCAGAGCTCAACCCCCGCAAGCACAATTTGGTGAGTACATTCAGTTTCCTTAACAAAAACTTGATGATGTATTCATCGTTGATGATGTTTCTCCTGCACAGTTTCTCAGCTCAGTGCCAAGACATCAACTTTCAAAACTTCAAAATATTAAACAATTTCTGAAAAAAATTATTCACGTGTATAGTGAGAAAAAGATCTATGGCAGGAAGATCAGTAATAACATCTGCAATAGAGTTTGAGTTCCAAGAGCTCTTTAAAACCTTTTATCCACATATATCCACATATACCCACATATATATCCACATATACCCACATATATATCCACATATACCCACATATACCCACATATATCCTCTGGTGCGAGTGTTCAAAGTTTTGAACAAATAATTGTCGAGATGTTTAACAAATGTGCACACATTTTACAATTCATTTCAATTACGAAACTGATTTAAGGAGAGTTGGAGTTAATAATTATTTTCAAATTATTGTCTAATATATATTTATTGATTAATTAAATGATTACATAAATTAACTCATGACCATGCCATATATAATTGTCTAATCTCTAAGGCCTATATATATCTATTATATATATAATATATAGGATATAATATATATATATATTAGGCCTATATATCACATCTATAGATGTGATATATATCACATCTTTTCAATTGGTTCTGGTGGGCAAAAGTCAACTTTTTCAATGTCTAGAGCACCGCTCTCTTACCTGGGGAAATTCTTGATGTACTCTCAAGGAAAGCTGTTGACCTATACAGTCGTGTAATCTATCTCCGAGTCCTCTTACCAAGTAGCATCAGTTCCTGCCGCCGCTCTTATGGTTCCTGCTCCAAGGAGCTTGCTACTTGTATGTTCCGCTCCCTCTTGAAGTGTTCAATAGTGATTCCTGGTTGTTGTTATAGATTCAGCTACTCAGAACAAGTTGCAAGTAGCTATGGTGAGCCCGTAGCTTACCTGGCACGGGAGCGGGGCAGGTAGCACGGGCTATGTTGAGCCCGTAGTGGACTTACCTGGCACAGGAGCGGTGAAATAGGGATTCCTGCTATTGTTCCTTGGTTAAGTATTACTGTGTAGGACGGAAGCAATGAGCTAAATAACCTTGAATCCTCCCGAGAAGCGCCAGTGAAAATATTTTTATATTGGAATATGAATGATATTCCTTATTTACACACAGAAATCACAATAGCGCGATGCATCAAATGAACAAATCCACAAGGGCCGTGACGAGGATTCAAACCTACGTCCTAGAGCATCGAGAGTTCGAATCCTCGTCACGGCCCTTGTAGACTTGTTCATTCCTGTATTATTCCTGTTTTGGCCCGTAACTTTTTCTCACCTCTACCGATACATCCATACACTCCCCTGGCACTCCTATACACTCCCCTGGCACTCCTATACACTCCCCTGGCACTTCCATACACTCCCCTGGCACTCCTATACACTCCCCTAGCACTCCTATACACTCTGGCACTCCCATACACTCCCCTGGCACTCCTATACACTCTGGCACTCCCCTGGCACCTCTATACACTCCCCTGGCACTCATATACACTCTGGCACTCATATACACTCCCCTGGCACTCCCATACCCTCCCCTGGCACTCCAATACACTCTGGCACTCCCATACACTGGCCGGGCTCTAGTGCCTGGTCTACAACCTTCTCCTCCCCCCTGGCTTTACCACAAGGCCCCACAGACACCCAACCTTCACCTCAAAGACGGATCAGAAACAATCATTCCAACTCTCACCGTTATTTTTTTGCTCGTCAAGAATGCAGGTGGTTGAGCGAACGTGTTTGGCGATGTCATGAGAATCTGCTCTGTAATGTCATGTAGATGTGACTTCCTGCTGGAGGCGGGAGCATGAAGCATGTTGTAGTGGTGGTGGGGGAGATTGGTGGGGGTGGTGGGGGAGGTGGTTGGGGTGGTGGGGGAGATTGGTGGGGGTGGTACGGGAGGTGCTGGGGGTGGTGGGGGAGGTGGTTGGGGGGTGGTGGGGGAGGTGGGTGAAGGGGGTTGTAGTGGTTGTGGTTAAAGGTCGTAGCCGGTGGAGGGAGGGAATTTATCATGGGAAAGCGCCAAGCCATTATTACTATATAGCATATAGAAGGGGTCAGGATAAGGATTTGGGATGGGATGTGGGGAAGGAATGGTAGCCAAGAACTTGCATGGACGGTTGGGGGATTGAACGCCGACCTGCATGAAGAGAGACCGTTACTCTACCGTCCAGCCCAAGTGGTTGGACAGGAGGTTGTGGAACTGGACCATCCTTCTAGCTCGACGTTTCTCTGAATGTGATCCTTTGTTTTCTAACAAGTACTAATCCTATTTAGTTTTTTTTTGGTCAAGATATCCAAACTTTTCTTCCATCTCATGCATTAAACTTTTGGGAAGAACAGCATCAAATTCAATTTGTCATGCAAGGAAAAATATATTCTTCGCTGCGTTTTTGTTTCCTTGTCGTAAATTTGTTTTTTTGTCCAGCACGACGTTCATTCTCTTCAGCCACTTTGCCTCTCCGTTACGAAGTGTATCCGCTCTAGATAATCCATTATTCTCTTCCGGATTACTTTCTCCAGCACTCTGTAATGGCCTGGTGCTCGAGGCTCTGCTGGTCTATAGTGTTGCTTCTTGAGGTTATCTTGAGATGATTTCGGGGCTTTAGTGTCCCCGCGGCCCGGTCCTCGACCAGGCCTTCACCCCCAGGAAGCAGCCCGTAACAGCTGACTAACACCCAGGTACCTATTTACTGCTAGGTAACAGGGGCATAGGGTGAAAGAAACTCTGCCCATTGTTTCTCGCCGGCGCCTGGGATCGAACCCGGGACCACAGAATCACAAGTACAGCGTGCTGTCCGCTCGGCCGACCGGCTGCCCCCCCTCGACTCGTGTCTATCTCCATTTTGGAATATCGGGAGAATATTTTGTTTACAAAATGCGTGGAGGTCTCTGATGTCCTTCTGTATCGTCTTCTTCAGTGGTTGATCAGTCCAGCAACCAGGAGGCCTGGTCGACGACCGGGCCGCGGGGACGCTAAGCCCCGGAAGCACCTCAAGGGGGGAAGGTAGGAAAGTCAAGCCACTTGTGAAAGATATTAATGGCTGTTGCATGTGACTGAGGAAGGAATTAGCCATTCATCAGTTCAAGTGTGCATGAGCCGCTTGGGTCTGAGGTTACCACTCAAGGGCACCTGCAGCAGCCCCCTAACGCTCAAGGGGTGACCCATTATACCCATCAAGTGAGCGCCGCCCTTATTCATTCGTCGCGGTCCGCCACTCTTTCCATCACGCGCGAGCTTCGAGGGGGATAAAAAAGTACCCATTGAATTATTGAGGATACATAGGGAGAGATGTGTCATATGGGAAGGAGAGGGGCAGATACATGTGTTGTGTCATTGTGTGAGAAGCCACAGGAAAATGTTCCAGAGAGGGAGGGGAGGGTAGGGTGAGAGGGGGAGAGGATTTGTGGGAAGGGGGGGATAGGAAGGGAGGAGGATGGGACGGGTGGGAAGGGGGATTTAGGTAGGCTTTATACTGCACTATGGAAGATGTTGCTGGAACGTAATAAAGTACGTCCAGCCGACGTTTACGACGCGTTAACTTTCCTCAAAGAGTGTCCCTCCCCATCCTTCCCTCTCTCTCTCTCTTCCACCTTCCCTTTTCCCCCACCTTTCCTTCCTACTTTCAATACGGTTTGAAAGCACACTTGGTCAATCCTCAAACCCCAGCCACACACGTACATCTATGAGGCAGTTGATTGACAATTGAGAGGAGGGACCAAAGAGCCGAAGCCCAACCCCCGCAAGAACAATTGAATCAGTAGAGAGAGAGAAAGAGAGAGAGAGAGAGAGAGAGAGAGAGAGAGAGAGAGAGAGAGAGAGAGAGAGAGAGAGAGAGAGAGAGAGAGAGAGAGAGAGAGAGAGAGAGAGAGAGAGAGAGAGAGAGAGAGAGAGAGAGAGAGAGAGAGAGAGAGAGAGAGAGAGAGAGAGACACACACACACACATATATCCATTAACACATCAAATCCACGTGAAAATCCCTCCTACAACACCTGTGACCTTTCGTCCCCTCCCGTGACCCCAGCTGTCCTCTGTCACCTGTCAAGACAAACAAGAAATACGACAGTTAGTGTCGTCTCGCTCGACCATCCGCCAAGGGAATCCTCCTACTTGACCTTACTTGACCCCGGCGGTAACATTTAACATGTAGGTGCTAACGCGAGGATCACCAGGTCATTCCAGGTCAGTAATGGGTTACACTGAGGACTGCCTCAGACAAGATTGATGCATCTGTCATCAAGCTGAATGATGAACT